CATATGAAGATCAGTTGGATTCTGCATATATTGACAAACAATGCTCACCGAATGTGCTATATTAGGTCGCATAAAAGTGAGATACTGCAAAGCACCCACTATACTACAATAAAAAGTTGAGTCCGAGAGAGAAATGCCTTCAGAAGCAAGCAATTGAGTATGTTGTTTTGATGTTGTTGGTGAAGGTTTACAAGATTCCATCCCAACCTTCTTAAGAAGCTCCTTAGTGTACTTTGATTGATGAACAAACAAATCACCATTTTTTTGTATTGAATTTGCAGCCCTAAGAAATAAGTCAAAGGACCCATATCTTTCAATTCAAAAATTTCTGCGAGACTATCAATGACTTGTTGAACTTGAGTATCATCAGAACCGGTCATTATAATGTCATCTACGTATAACAATAAAATGACCACATGCATACCATCATGCTTGACAAACAAGCTAGTATCAGATCATGAAGAAACAAACCCCAAGGATGGTAGAACTCCTGTGAATTTGGAATGCCAAGCTCAAGGAGTTTGCTTGAGCCCATACAAAAACTTAACAAGTCTGCAAACATAAGAAGGATTCTCAAAACAAACAAACCCTTTAGGCTACTGCACATAGACCTCATCTTGTAAATCACTATGAAGAAAGGCATTTTTAATGTCTAGTTGTCTAAGTTTCCATTTATGTCTTGTAGCTAAGGCTAGAATATGCTTTACTGTGGAATGCCGTACAATCGGACGGAACGTTTCAGAATAGTCAATGCTACAATCGGACGGAACGTTTCAGAATAGTCAATGCTATGTTCCTGTGTAAAACTTTGAGCCACCAATCTTGCTTTATAGTGAGCAATACTACCATCAAAATTCTTCTTGAGTTTGTAAACCCATTTACATCCAACAACAGATCGATGAACAGGAGGTGGAACCAAAATCTAAGTCCCTTGAGATTGTAAAGCATCATACACTTCCTGCATAGCCTGCTGCCAATGACTATCAGAAGAGGCAATCTTGAAGTTCTTTGGTTCATCAATATCAATGACTTGGGCTAGAAATGAATAACCAGCAAAAGAACAAGATTCTGAGTCTAGCTGCAATGACTTTAATTTTGGAAAAGAAGCCAAATATGCAGAATAATCCTGCCTAGATATGGCACCAATTTTCAATCTTGTTTGAATTAGAGAGGTATCAGTAGACACATTGGTGGGAAGAATACGTGATGAAGAAATAGGAAGTAATACCTGAAGTTGTGCAGGATGATGGACAGGTAACAAAGATGATTGATCCAAAGTAAGAAGAATAGCACTACCATGAGTTGTTGAAGATGATGTTTCAGATTCCGAAAGAGCAGTACTAATAGTTGGACTTGAAGAATTATAAACTAACTATGATGAACCACCTGGCATTCTTGTGTCACTGTGTGATACCGGTATTGTATTTGTCTGATGTACTTGAGAAACAGAAACTGGAAGAGTAACCATTATACGGGAAGACACTGGAGAGTTAGAAACCCCTGAAGATAACTAAGATGGAGTACACTGCATCATTGTGGTTGGAAAAATGGTCTCATCATGCACAACATGTCTAGAAATCAGTAATTTGTGAGTCTGAATATTATAGCAAATACAACCCTTATATCCAATTGAATAGCCAAGAAAAGTGCATAAACTGGACCTTGGCTGAAGCTTATTATTGTTATAAGGTCTGAGATAAGAAAAAATAGTAGTCCCAAAAACTCTTAAATATTGCAGCTGAGGTGGCTTGTGATACAAAGTAGAAAAAGGAGAATCCATATGTAAGGATTTAGTAGGTAACCGATTAATCAAATACACAGCATGAGCATAAGCATGAAACCAAAAGGACTGAGACAACCCTGCTGCAGTAAGCAAAGTAATTGCTGTTTCCACAATATGCCTATGCCTTCGTTCAACAAACCCATTATGTTATGGGGTATAAGGACAAGAAATTTGATGTACCATGCCTTTGGAAACCAAAAAAATTCTTAAACTGTCGACTAAGATATTCACCACCTCCATCGGATTGAATACACTTAATAACAACACCAAACTGAACAGTTACAAAATTATAAAACTGCACAAATACTTGAAAAACATCTGATTTATTGCATAAAGGAAAAATCCAAATGAATTTGGTACAACCATCCACAAAGGTTACATAATATTTATACCCTTCAATGGATTTGATTGGAGAAGGCCCCCATATGTCAGACTGTATTTTCTCAAAAGGTAACAAACACTTAACAGACTCAGTAGGAAATGAAAGCCTAGACATTTTTCCTTGAATACAATGAGAACACATTTTATGTATGTTAGCAATTACATGAGATATCTAAGACTTATTCAAAATAGAAGACAAGACTTCGTTGGTAGGATGGCCCAACCTTTGATGCCACAGTGAAGACTTGATATATTGCCCAAGATATGCTGAAACTGTATTGATCTGCACTAAAGAATTCATAGGTCTTGCAATTGGAATCTGAAACAACTCATGTGGCTTACTCTTGCCTCTGTAAAAGATCTCCTTTGTTACTTTGTCTTGCACATAAAACCACACATCATCACATATAAACCAACACTTACTATCCTTACATAATTGTTTGACAGACAACAAATCCTCAGTAATTTGAGGAACATGTAAAACATTAGTTAATTTCAATGTATGTGAAGGAGTGTGTTGTAAAGTAGAACCAATGTGCTTTATAGGAAAACCTTGACCATTGCCCATTTTAATCATGTCAGAACCTTCAAAATGAGTAGCTTGTGTAAGATTATGAACATCAGAGGTCATGTAATACGAAGCCACGGTGTCAACCACCCAAGCATCATTAGGAAAAGAAGAATTCACATGCTAAGCTTGCATAGCATGAAGAGATGCACTAGGCTAAGAAGAACCAGGAAGAAGTAGAAGATGATGGATAAGGAAACTCTTGATGAACTTGTAGTGAAAGAGGAGGAGGTGCAACCTGATAAGCAAAATTCCCGTGATGATAATAATCCAATGCAATGTGTCCACGTTTTCCACATATTTGACATTCCTGCAAATGAACCTGATTTGAACTTAGATTCCTGTGATAATAGTTGGGAGCTGTATTACCTCTTTTCTGACATATCTAACATTCAGGTTGCATATTGAATCTAGTGTCTGTGTTACCAGACCAAGACTGCCATCCTCTTTGTCGGTTTTTAAAATTCTAATTTCTGCCTTTGTTGTAATACTTGTAACCACCTCTTTGCTATCCTCCAAAGTTATTTCTCTAAGTATTAGAAGGCCTAGGACCATAATTATAAGTAAAAGAGGCATTACCAGTGTAACCAAAACCATATCCATAAGAAGATGATTACTGAGATGGATTTGGTGAAGGTAATGGAAATTGAGGAGGCATGGAATTAGGATGAGAAGAACTAGGGAAATTGTGCCAACAGTAGCTAAAGACAACCCATCATTAGGATGAGATTGGGATGAACAACTGAACTGCCTCCAGATGTAGAAGAAGAACCTTGCATGTAAAGAGCTGCCATAGAGTGAGAAAGAGTATGTTCCATACCGTTAATATCCCTTTCAGTGTTAAGAAGCTGAGCACGAAATTCTTTTAGAGAAATAGATGTCTCCCTAGCAACAATAATTGTTCTAATTATTGCATACTCTCTTGGTAAACCAGCCAAGGCTGCAATGATCAAATCATTATCAGATATTGCCTCTCCAGCAGCAATGAGTTGATCTTTGATAGATTTAAGCCAAGAAAGAAACTTGTCAATATAATTGGTTCCTTTTTGTAAAGTCTGAAACCCAATTTTGAACATATTAATCCTCGATTTAGACACAGTAGCATATTGATCCTCAAGAACTGACCAAGCAGCATGAGCAGTTGTACAACCAAGTACATGATCAATAACATCATCTATCAAAGTAGCATTGAAAAGACTAAGTAGTGCCAAATCAATTTGTTCCCATTCCTAAAAAGCCACTGTAATTTCTTTTGTAATGCCTATATCAGTATTGATAACAAATTTGGGAGGACAAACTAAAGTTCCATCAAAATGGTCAAACAACTTATAACCCCTGAGTATTGACCTGAACTGATATGCCCATTTGGACTAATTTGTATCTCCTAGCCTAATTGTTAACATCCCCAAAATTCCTTCAATCTTGATTTGAGAATTAGTCATACTGAATTATCAAGAACAAGCACAGATCTTTAGCAATCAACATGGAAACAATATATTTGGGCAATTGGCCTTCATAAATATATCAAGAACACTAAACAAATTTCACCACAAATCTTGGCATTGGCCTTCACTAATATGGTATTGACTTTCACTTATATGGCATCGGCCTTTACTTATATTATCAACAATCAATCACTACTATGGCATCGGCCTTAGCAACAACAAGTACAAAGAAACCCTAAAGAATTGAAAATTGCAGATCCGAAATCACCGACTGTCGCAAAAAAAAAAAAAAAAAAAAAAAAAAATGCAAGAACTACCCAAATATCAACAGAAACAGAACATATGCCAAATTTTCACTAGAAAACAACCAAGAAATTAACAGCTTAAGAACAAAGATCAAGATCCAAGAAACCTTACAACCCGCAACGAAATCAAGTGCCCGTCAAGAAACCTTACAACCCGCAACGAAATCAAGTGCCCGTCAATCAAGAACTCTACAATCCACAAGTAAATCGCAAGCTCTACATACCATCATAATCAACTTAGAAGCTTACAGAAAGATCAAGAACAATTTAGTACAAGAGAGAGAGAGAGAGAGAGAGAGAGAGAGAGAGAGAGATTTCTCTAAAGAATTGCTAATTCTCATTAATTCCTCTTCGAACCGTACAATTAACTACGACTAATAACCACTAAGCTTACTCTGTAAGCTACCTCTTGTACTAATAACATTTGTCACCACATACAACTGCCACCTGACATTCTTGATGACTATAGCTATTAAATATCACTGCATAAGTAGTTCCCTGAACAAGCTCGCAATACCGAGTTGATTAAGAGAGATTTCACTAGACATGGCTTCAGAAACTCAGCCTACGCTTCCTGTTGTAGATTTATCCGATGAAAACTTGAAGCCCGGTACAGATGCATGGCTCTTGGCATGCAAAGTAATCAAGGATGCGCTAGAAGAGTATGGCTGCTTCGAAGCTATTTACCATAAAGTTCCTCTGGAACTTCACAATTCCATGTTTACTGCGATGGAAGATCTATTTGGTCTTCCATTAGAAACTAAAAAGCAAAAGACCAGTGATAGGCATTTACACAGCTATCTTGGACAATATTCATTCATTCCTCTCTACGAATCCTTGGCGATTGCTAATCCAACAACTGTTGAAGGAGCTCAAGGTTTCACAAGCACCATGTGGCCTCAAGGAAATGACCATTTTTGGTATATTTTGATGAATCAATACTCACTCTAAATTACTTTTTTCAATATATACATATATTATTTATATTCCGAACAAATGTTTGTTTTATTTGACTAAAGAAAAAACTAACCTAATCAAATTTGCCAGCATAAGCATTTACGTTGACTGAGATTGGAGGAAAAGAATCCCGCATACATATATTTTTCTAATATATATTATGCCTAATATGGTTTTATTCTGTATTCTTTTGATTAGTGAAACTGCTCATTCCTTCTCAAAGCTGGTAGCAGAATTGAGTCAAATGGTGACAAGAATGGTTTTTGATATGTACGGTGTGCAGAGGCTTTATGACTCTCACATGGAATCAACTACATACCAGCTTAGATGGTATAAGTACAGAACACAACAAGCGAATGAAACCAATGTGGGAATGCTTCCTCACACAGACAAGTCCTTCATATCCATACTGAATCAAGATCAGGTGAATGGTTTGCAGATTGGAACAAAGGATGGTCAGTGGATTGATGTGCAGCCTTCACCTTCATCTTTTCTAATCATGGCAGGCGATGCATTCATGGTAGGTCACTTTCTTAATTTCAAGCAGTTAAAAGTGTGATTGATAAAGGTTTTATTTTTTGTTTGTTGGTTTGATTTATGAACTGGAAAATTGATATATTAGTACATATATAAATTTTACAACGAGTCATACATAATTAGGTATTGAACTCGTCATCCAAGAAAGTCAAATATGAGACAAGTGGGAAGAAATAACATTAGAACGTTGTGCAAATATAAATCTTTTCAATCCCAAAGATATGCCTCAATGAACTTTTCCTTTCTCTTGTTTTCACTTGGCAGGCATGGAGCAATGACAGAGTACCCTCTTGTGAACATCAAGTCACCATGAAAGAGAACAAAACCAGATACTCCCTAGGACTGTTCTCATTCAAAAATGGGATTATACAAGTACCTGAAGAGCTAATTGATGAGAAACATCCCTTATTGTATAAGCCATTTGATCATTTCAGTTTCCTTGACTTCGGTCGAACACCAGAGGCAAGGAATTTGTTGCGTTCTATCAAGGCCTACTGTGGTGTGTGAGATCTCTTTTGATCTAGAGGGATTGCCATCTTACTTTGCATAATAACTCCCTGAAACTTTGGCTTTTATAATCTATTGTGTATCTAAGTGTGGGTTTGTTGCTGCTTTTGTTGTGAATGTAATATAGCTTGTGAGGGTTGTTAATCTTAATTCCTTGGATTCTACTAAATAAAAAAGTTATTATGGTGTAATTTTTAATAATCTTTTTCTTTTCTTTGATTAAAATGTTGTCCAGTAGATTTAAACTCATGACGCTACTCAAGTATAAAGTGGACGTACGTTGCCATTAGACCAAATTATTGGGTCATGTGTTTTTTACTCAGATGAAGAGGAAATTTTTTTAACCATCACATTACCGAAAAATTGTACCTAGATGTTCAGTCCCCCTTATCTGGCTCAAGTTTTTGGATAAACATAAAACTAAAAATATTTTAGAACGAAATTACTATGGTTTTTCATATGTAAACCCATGATAATATCACACTTTGGAAAAAGTACATCAAACTCAATGCTTTAAAGAAAAACTCAATTTACTTTATAACACCTTGCAGTGTTTGTTGTTATTAAAGGTAGACTATATGTGATATGAATAAGACATATCACCTTACAACACATATTCACAAATGACATCATGAAGAGCAAGTAGTTTATGAGTGATAAGAGTATGTAACAACTAATGTTTGCTATATTAAGCGCCATGAGAACTTCAAGAACCACCTCAAGTTTCCCCTAAAACCTTCAGAATCTTGAGGATCCCGCCGCCCCTTGCTAGTTTGATCTATCTTTAACCTTAATTCCAGTTACGCACGTCCAATCGATTTCTACAAAAAAATCCAACACCATAACCCCTAAAAATAAGATATTTTCAAAATCATTTTATTTATGAAAAAGAAAATTCAACACAATCCAGGGCTCTGACCCATCCAATAATAGCAATCACTTCACAACTACACTAACGAATTATTCATGCATTCTAACATAAGTTTACTTGTGAGAGTGAAAACACTTATTTACGACACTACACTTTAAAACTCAATTTCATTCCCAATTTGCTCCATGAAACTTACATTTTCTCACTTTTAACACTTTGAAAATCAAATCTTGTCGCACAATGACTCGCATAACGCCATCAGTTTCATTAAAATTGACTCCCATAACGACATTTCATTAAAATACTGATGTGCTATGAAATGGGATCCACTTATTGCTAAAATATTCCATGTGAATAAAAAAAAGAGGAAGTATGATTCTCTCTCTTCCTAATCTCTCTTTTCTTACCGCCTCTCCTATTTAAATGGTTAAGATTAACCACGTCAATATCTTGTTTTGAATTTTTTATATAGAGAAAAAGACAAAAAAGAAAGAGAGAGGAGGGGAGGGAAGGGAATGGTAACAAGAAAGGAGAGAATCCTACTAATAAAAGGGTAATGCTAGGGAGACTAAATTTAGAAACAAAATTTGCAAACTAAATGATGTATCACCAATAGGAATGAGCATGTTTATTAGCGTTTTAAGTAATAAACCAATCATCAACTTCCTGTTGAAGTATCCCACATTGACTGTATCTCTAAGAAAAGAAGAGTTTAAATATCATAATCCCACTCCAACTAATACCGAGGCCTTTTGTGATAAAATCCCACACCTGACGGATTGTGCAGGTGGTAATTATCAAGTTAGATATAATATTGGTGTTGTTGGAAGTGGGCCTTCGGCCCATCTCTCTGATAATTCTATATGATATTAGAGCCAAAGAGTGAGCCCGTACTTCCATGTGATGGGTGAGTCCCCTTGGCTTTGCATAATGATGGTATGTCCCTTGGCCCTGCATGTAAGGTGAGTCCCCTTGACTCCACATGGTTGTCAATATGTGGATCTCCCACGTGTGACCCACCAATTGGGTTCTACGTGAGGGATATCTCACATCGACCATATCTCTAAGAAAATAATAGTTTAAATATTATAATCTCACTCCAACTAATATCAAGGCCTTTTGTGATAAAACTCCACACATGACGGATTGTGCATGTGGTAATTACCAAGTTGGAGACATTATCGGTGTTGTTGGAAGTGGGCCTTCGGCCTGTTTCTCTGATAATTCTATACTTCCATGTCTTTTAGTTTCTAAAATTTTGTCTATAAATTTAGTTTCTCTAGCATTACCCAAAAAAAAGGTAATGCTAGGAAGACTAAATTTGAAAACAAAATTTGCAAACTAAATAATGTGTCACTAATAGGAATGAGCACGTTTATTAACGCTTAAGTAATAAATCAATCATCAATTCCCATGTCTTTTAGTTTCTAAAATTTATTTTCCCTAGCATTATCCAAAAAAAATTGCAAAGCTCCCTCTTTTTCTTTTCTTTCTTTCTTTCTGGTTGATTCACACCACCATCGGCCCGCTCCCCATGTCTGCCCAGATTTCCCCATCCAACTGCCCCACCAACCATAAGCCAATATTAAGCTGTAATTAAAGCCATATATTTATCAAGAAGAAAAATCCATCAATTGATTAATTCTCTGGGTTATAATAATTTGAAAAAGAAGGGGATTTAACAAGTAGGTGGGTTTACTTGGCAAATTATTGAAATATCTATTTTTTGTTTTTAAGGTTCAATTCTCTGTGGCCTTTCTGGACTGAGAATAAGGTGGGTAATTGATACCTGTTGGAAGTTTGGCCTTGGGGTTTCGGAAAGGGGTATGATATCCACACACCCCATTTTATTTTTCACACACTTTTTTAATTTTTGACCGTCAGATCGGATGAATTGAAGAAGATCAACGGACATAAATTATCAAGGGTGTGTGAGAAGTAAAATGGGGTGTGCTACACACCCCATATTTAACAGTTGGTTTTACAATTTTGTTGTTCAATTCAATTTTTTCCAAAAGAATTAAGATTGTTTTTGAAAGGATAAGACCGATTCAAACAGTTGTGACTGTTTAAAAGTCACAACTGCATCTAATAGTTCCAACTGTTGGGTTAAGCCATTATATATAATATAAACGTAATCATCAATTGAAAACTTTCATTTCATGTTCTTTCACTGAAAAACACACTTCATTTCACCAAGAATCCAACTTCGAGTGCAAGAACTTGGATTAGGTAGTTGTGTCATGCAAGGTAGACGTCCTCGAACTACTGCACTAGTTGGGGCGTACTTCTGTCTTAGAAGATTGTTACTACAAGTCTTTATCTTCGAAGAAACAAGTTAGTAATACATGTTATGATTCTGTTTATAACTTCATTTACATATACATTTTGATTTAGTTATAATCAATTCGATATCTATATAAACTGTACAATGTGTGTGTGTGTGTGTGTAGGAAATCTTTAAGGGAAGAGATCTCCATTTTTTTTTTTTATAAAAATAGGGATTAGTTGTGGGGTCCACACTACATCGAACTTTAACGATCCAAACCTTCTATTTTTCAAGTTGCATCTCATAGATTATCCTTGCAAAATATTAGCGAAATCGGAAATGTTGAAGACATCTAATTGGGTTCAAAGAAATTAACAAATATTTTGTTATATAAGTAACAATGAAATTTTATTTGATAATTAAATAGGCAAATGGTTTCGAATTGAATTGAATTTTTGTAAGGATGATTTATGAATCGAGACTTACAAAATAGACTGTCGGATCGTCGAAGTTCGATGTGGAGTGAGCCCCACACCTAATCCCCATTTTTTGAAAAAAAAAATGGGAATCCTTTTGCATAAACGGGTCGGTCCAGGTATACACATGTGTAAACCATTACACAATAAGAAAAATATTTAACAGCAGTTGGATTAAATCTCACTTTTTGTGAGATTAATCTTACTTTTTGTGAGATTAATCTCACTTTTATATTTAACTATATATAGTACTATAAAAAGTGTTGATAGTATATTTGAAATTGGCATGATGCATGATTCTTATTATGTTTTTCTCATTATTTTTTATGATGTAGAATTTTGACAATAATTACAGTGGTTCAAGTTCGTTTGGAAAAAGTGAATTGCAAAAGTATTTGGAAGATAAAAGAATAGATAGAAAAGTAGACATAGATGTTCTTTCTTGGTGGCAAATGGATTATCCGATACTTTCTCAGTTAGCACGAGATGTGTTAACAATTCACATCTCAACTGTTGCGTCATAATCTGCATTTAGTATTGGGAGTAGAGTACTAGATCAATATTGTAGTCCATTGTTGCCAGAAACAGTTCAAGTTTTGTTGTGCACACAAAATTGGCTCTTTGGAAAATGAGGTAACATATTTTTATATGGTATAGTACTATTATTTTATTTATTTTCATAATTATTTTTTATAAACTTCTCATAATTTGAATGATTTATAATGTTTGGTTTTTCTATACTTAGTTTATGCACAAGAGAGTTCTGATGTGGAAAGCCGTACTATGAAGTCTAGACTTATATGTTTGACCTTCCTTGTCAATATTGTAATTGTACCACACTTGCTCTAACTAGTTTTTAGAATTCCCTTAAGTTGCTGGAGACAAGTGTTCTAGGTTGTGGCACATCATCTCAAGTAAAGTTTGGTCATACATATGCATTTCATGTCTAAATATTCCTGTTTCATTCTAACCAGTATTGTTGTCTCGTCAAAATTGTTCGCTGCTTTCCAGCTAGCTAGGCACATAATTTAAGACCTTCCCACATAGACTGACTAACACCTTTTTGCAAATGTTTTTTTTTTCTCTCACCCTTGATCTTTTCAAATCATTTTGAAGTCCGACATGTGTCCCTATTGGTTGAAAAACAAACAAAAGCTTTTGGGGTTAAGGTCCCTAGCTGGTTCCTTTTCTTTTTTGCAGTTTTCAGATTCATTTTTTTATAGAGAGAGAGAGAGAGAGAGAGAGAGAGAGAGAGAGAGAGAAAGCATAAAGCTTCAACTTCCTCCTTCCTCTTCATTTAAGAAACCCTAATTGTAAAAACCATCTTCATGCATTTTAACACCCAATCATTGCATAATAGGGTTACATTATCTTCATGGTTTTGCATTAAATTCGTGGTCAAGTTCTTCAAGTTTCAAATCTGTTTATTGACCCTTTTTTTTATTCACGTCAGTTTTTTCTTTCAACTGTTTGACTGGAGAAATTGCCTGGTCATTAAATCCAAATTTCATATTATGATCATCATAATATCATTTGCATTGATTGAGTTGGTTTTAGTGCCACAAGGAGAAGAGTTCAAGGTAGG